GGGAGCGGTGACTCTCTGATACCTCGGCAAAACATCACCGCGTTCCTCCTTCTCTCTTTACTTTAAGCATTTACTTTGAGCAATTCGATTCTTGTCTTTACATTCATAGAATTGCCATGCTAGAGTAGGATTGGAACTTAGGTTGCAAAACTTTTGTGCGATAGAACATTAGAAACACATTCTAGGCACAAGGGGTGAAGTGGGCTGAGTGTAGGGTTTAATTATTACAAAGAATTTTAGAATTAGCCCAATTCAACCCTCCTCTTGGGCATCTTGATCCTTTCAATCTCCATCATTAATTCATCATCTTTGTGAGATTGGAAGAGAATCCAAGTGCATTGCTTGAGTGATTGCATCTAAAGGCACTTGGTGTTCGTGTTTCGCTGCCGGATTTGCCTGTTGCTCTTGGTGGTTGCGACCACCAAGATGGCTTGGTGTAGTAGAGAAGGATTGGCATGAGTTGGTGATTGTTTGTGGCTATCTCCCGTGATTGTGAGGGGACTTGTGCCTTCCCCGGCGGAGCACCGAAAGATAACCCTAGTGGATTGCTCGTGTCATTGAGTTACCTCACTTGTGGATAGGTTCTTACGGTGTCCAATTGTGTGGACGAGGTTTGTGCAACACCTCTTAGCCTCCGAACCACCAAGTGTTGGTCGACACAACGGGGACGTAGCGTGTTGGCAAGCACTGAACCTCGAGAGAAAATTGGTTGTCTCTTGTCTTTTGGTATTCTCTGGGTGATTGAGTTAGTATTCATCTTGTAATTGATTCACTCCTCTACTCGGTGGTATAATCACCTTACTTACTCATTTACATACCCGCAAACTAGTTGTAGTAAGCTCTTTAGTGTAGCTAGAATTGAGACCTTACTTTGTAGCTTAAGTTCATCTAGTGGAGCTCTTTAGTGTAGCAAGTGTGAGAGCTCTTAGTGAGTAGTGACTTAGTAAATGGTGTGTTTAGTGATCATAGTAACTAGAATTGTTGGATAGGTGGCTTGCAACCCTTGTAGTGCTAGAGCAAGTTTGCATTTCGCTATTTGTCATACTAATCAAATTGCTCAAGTTGGTTTGTAGATTTATAAATAGGCTATTCACCCCCCTCTAGCCATATTAGGACCTTCCAACCGGAGAGAACAACACCGTGTGGTGCCTCTTGGCTCATGAGATGCTCTAGTTCAGCTGGAACGACATTGTAGTGCTCTGGATCCGATAAGGGATGTCCCGAAGGACGTATCCGAAGTAGTGAGGTGACAACAACTCTTCTCCAGCGATGATCCGGTTGTGAATGTTTGTTAGCATGAAGAACATCTAGCGGCACTCCGACATGGTGGGGTTTGGGCCTAAACCTAGCCGAATCTACTGGACCCCAACCTCCAAGTCGGCTCCAAAGAGGCCCAGCGGACGGTACGACGCTGGGGACTCATTGTCCTCTGACAAGGTCTCCTTGAGAGGGTGAAGCTCATCGCTGCGGTCAGCGATGTAGTCCATGCTCCCAAATCTAAAAACTTGGTCAGGGGTGAAAGAACCGCCAGTGATGGCGATTTCACAAGAGAAGCATACGCCACCCTCTAGGTTGGTGTAGCTAGCTCCGGTGACAAAGCGGGTGGCAAAGGCCACTGTAGAGCGATGGTCACACAAGACGCGCTCCCCTAACTAGCGCGCAAATGGTCGCGGGTTTAGAACCACGACAAGCATTGGGGTTATTCGTCGGTGGTCGATGTGAAGGGTCTGGTGGCTCAGACACTCAAAACATGGAAGGGACACAAATTAGTTTACCCTAGTTCAGGCTTCTAAGCCCTATGTCCAGTAGTAAGATGTTCTTCATTTTAGAAATGCCCAATTAGGGGATTACAATAGCGGAATCGAGAGAGACTGGTAGGGGATTGCATGGTGCATTCCTAGGGTTCTTGGCTATCGAGTCTGGTTGAGCGATCAAGTATCTGATACCCTTCTAAGGAGCCCATGCCACCCCATATATCCTAGGGAGGTTATAGTTACAAGTCGATTTTGGTTCTGGCCTAAGGCTTATATATCTGGTGCTCGTCCTTCATCTCAGTGTCGTCTGGTGCTTCTTTATCATCTAAGAAGGGGCCGACAATGTCGCAACCACTCCCTGATGTTGTTGCCACAATCTAGTGCTTGACCTTCAGGGGTTGCCTACCGCTGTGCCGCCTCCCCCAAGTGAGCCTTCTCGAGCCTCCCTTGGTGCGCAAGGAGACTCCCCTGCCTATTGGGGCTGATCAGTCATCCTGGAGCCCTCTGCCCTTGGAGCCTGGGGAGCTCCTTGTCTGTATGCATCATGTCTGTTGCGTGACCCTACCAAGGGAGTGGCCGATAGCACGTCCAGGCTGTTCGAACGGGTATACGGTGCAGCATCTCCGTACTTGTAAGCCTCTTGGTCCCTGATAGGTTCCTAAGCTGACTTCTGGCCATGGCTCAGGACATTAGTTGCTGCCTAGGAGTGTATGCATGGGCGTACCCGATGCTTGGGCTCATCTTGACTCCACCGGAGGAAATGCGCGAGCGTACCCAATGGGTATAGCCCCCGAGTGATTTGTACGATGAGTCGCTATCCCTTTTCTGGGTACTTAACATACCCCTATGTTAGACTCTCATCAAGTGGGTAGACATGAAATTCTAAATCTCCATAGATGACATTTGGGATGTACTATCGGAGTTGAGATCCCAAGAGTTAGGCCCTTGCATATTCGACCAATTGATGGCAGCAATCATCCAAGTTTGATCTCATTGTTGAGATTGTGGTCTAGAAATGAGCATATGCATGAACATAGTGTGGGCCTTAAGGATGTGACCCAAGTACCCTTGAATTGGTAGCCTACCAAGCATGCCCTCCATTCTAACCTAGCCACACACCTATGTTACTATCTCTAGCCCATAAGGAGATGCAAACCCACATGCTAGTGGGACAGGACTGATCGTGGGGTAGTAGGTGTCTATTGTTGGACACATAGGGTGCTTGAGACCGTAGCCATCATGGCGTCTGTTACCACGGTGATTGTCATTGTTTGATGATGAGGAAAGCCTACCTCTCGATGCTATTGAGAAAAATGTGGTTAGGTGACAATATCTTGAATATGTTGATACGATGGAGCCTACAATGAGGTGAGCAGTTCCCCCTAGCGACCTTTGATTCATTCGGTAGACATAGATCCTTTAGAACTAGTATCGACTAATCATTGGTGAAGTTTAGGATTTTGACCATGTCGGTGATGTCATCTACAATATTGGAATAATGTGAGCTGAGACAACACAAAAGGTTGAGCAGGAATTATGATTAAGAGGTGACATGACTGACCTTGTGCAAGAAGTCAGCGACAATCTTCATGTGTTAGTAGTAATCCAAGATGGAGAGGGTCCTCAAGTTGTTGAGTGGAACATGTGACTTAGGAAGATGCATGGGGTGTGGCTCTTTATTCACTCAAAAGATATTTTTATGGAATGGTATGTGCATCTTGAGATCTAGAATGTTGCTGGATCCACTCCAACTAATACATAGCATGTTACCATGGAACCATGGTAGGGTGACCCGTGTGGAGCCATACATGTAGGACAAATTTTGCACACATGGAGCCCAAAAAAGATGCTCATATGTTGGAATTGTGATTCTTTAGTTCTAGTGTGTCTGGTAACATGCAGCTTTACCTTCACTATGACCATGGCATATAGGTTGATGAAGACTAGTGATGTCATGGACACTGCCTTCATTGGCTAATGACAATGAGTTCGTTAGCGTGGCTACAAATATAGAAGGGGATGTAGACGCCATGCTAGATAGGACCTAGATGGAATCAACCAAGAGTGTGTCATGAGGAAAGACATGTCTTTGAGAGATGTTGTGCATGCAACCATAGGAAGTACACTAGTGTTGCATAGGGAATAGTGGTGCTATAGAAGTACATTGCACATGGAAGGATGTGGCATGTCAAGAATACGCTAGGAAGAGAAGGCATGGCACAGAGATCGATGTGGTAACACCCCAATGTCGACGCACTAACAGGGATTCATGATGCTAGTGGGTGGATGTGTCTATGTCTTGTGTGGCTCATTAAGGCTTTGGGAAGGGATAAAGGGTTGTAGAAGGTGAAGAAGATTGCATCTATTGGATTTGTAGTCAAAGAGGTCTCCAAACAATAGTTAGCCTATTCCCATGCAACATCATAGGTGACCCAGGACGAGGACATAGATGTGTGGTTGTAGGTTGAATTTGCCACATATGGAGCGAAAGAATGTTGCCATTGTTTAACTCCAGCATCACAAGGCATATGAGGCTTCACTATGACCATGGCATATGGGTTGATGAAGATGTCACAGTGTGTGCACTAGCTGATGGCAATGAGTTTATTAGCGTGTCCGCTGATGTAGCAGGGGATGTAGATGTCATAGATGGAATCAACTAAGCATGTGTGATGAGGTAAGATGTGCCTTTGAGAGGGGTGCACACACTACCAGAGGAAGTATATCAGGGTGCGGGAGGGAATGGTGGCACGTTAGGAGTACGCTACACATGGAAGGTTGTGGCATGTAATGAATACGCTAGGTAGGACAAGGCACAATGATCAATGTGAGCACGCTCTGGTGTGGATGCACCGATGAGGATTCTTGGTGCTAGTGGGTAGACGCATCTATGGGATGCGCCGCACATTAGGGTTTTGGGAAGGGAGATAGAGCACGGAAGGTGAAGGGGATTACATCCATAGGATTTGTGATACTATGTAGAATGGTAGAAATATTTGGAAACACAACACAACCTTCAAGGACGGTTGACCATTTGTATATTAGCTGAATATAGCTTGTGTTAAAAGATTATAGTAATATGATGTACAATGGCTATATACCTGTATCATTTTTTTTCAAATTAATCATGTCTGCAAGTATGAAACAATTGGCCCAAAATACCGATTATATTCTTTTTATTTTCAAAAGACCATTGTGTTCCACATTTAGTGTGCTCCAGTGTATTTTATACTTACTATCAACCTACTATGTAAATATAGGATGTACCTGAATATGTATAAATTTATGTGAAGAACCATATGAAATTATATATTTTATTGTCATTTGGATGGCTAAAACATTGGCTCTTGTGGTAAGTTCTGGCATTATGTGCTTGTTCTGGTCTAATGTACCATATATATTATTATTGTGCTTCGTAATTGTCAGTCACTTTTAAATTGATTGAAGGAGAAGACCAAACATTACAAATGTAGTATTGGTATGTAGAAATAACACACCTTGGGTGACTCTTGAAAGAAAGATAGTCCTCGGAGCTGCATAATATACTTCTTGCTGAGTTCCATAACTGAGAGTAATTCTGTTGGCTCTATGAAACCTAAAGAAATCCATTGGTAAATTAGATCATTTTTAACTATGTGGTGACCTTTTGGGAAGACAGCACAATAGGTAAAGCACTGCTGCAAACATGGATCCATATAGCTATAACTTAACAACAAAGATGCCAGAACATGATTCGGCAAAGATATATCCTTTGAAACATGTTCATTCCAGATATCATTATCTCTCACATTCATCCATTGGTCAAAATGGTCCATGCCCCGCAAAGTGAATCCTAGAGATTGAGCTGCTAAAGCCACACCAGCACACTTCTGAGCAATCTCCTGTCCTATACCTGTCAACTTTTCTTTGTCACCTCTAGCTCGAAAACCACTTCTTTGTTTTATTATATCCCAGCACATATCATTCGTCAAGGGTAATATCTTGTATGGTTGAAGGTTTGCACATATTCTCTCCGCAACGCTCTCACTTCGTGTTGTTACTAAAATAATTATTTTGCTATCATCATGATATAGCATGTCCTGCAAGTCCTTCAACTGGAACTGATTATCCTCCCAAAGGTCATCTAAAACAATCATAATATTCTTACCAGGAAGTAGCTCTGTGAGGGAACTATGTACCACCTGTATTTCATTAGCCTGATTGTCTTTTCCAGATAGCTGTGAAATAATAGACACACAAATTTTATTCAAGTCAAATCTATGTGACACATGGACCCATGCTTTAGAATAGCATTCGAACTTTGGATCATTATAAATCAATCTTTCAAAAGTTGTCTTGCCAATGCCTCCAATACCATATATGGGAAGGATGGAAATCTTTTCTGATGAACTCTCAAGTAAAGAAGTTATTATTTTCCCTTTTTCTTCTCGCCTCCCCACTATGAGTTCTTCTTCTACAACTGTTGATGTTTCTCGTGCATCAGTAAGTTCTAGCTGAGGGCTAGCTGCATTCTGGTGTTGAACTGTGATATTATCTCTCGTCTCTATACCATTATTCTGCACTGTCATTGGAGAAACACTTATGCCACATACAGTTGAGAGTGCTGCGGCGAGAATTTGTAACATACAGTTGAGCATTCTCCCTACCTATCAATATGGTTCAGAAAATGAATATCAGTGTTAGGGGCTCGAGAAACTGTATTAGACTCTTGAATCATGGAGTGATAAACACTTTTTAAGAAGAAATTCCTAATATGCTAGTAGAACATAAGTGAACTGATTACATCATTGCACATATAGTAAAACTATGTCTTGACATAGATACCCAGTATATGGCCTTACAAATGATATTAATTACCTTGTCATCACCAATTTCAATCTCCTTAAGCTTCTCAGTTATCTCCACTATGTCAGGCCTTTTCTGACTATCTTTATTCAAACAGTTCAATGCTATTTGAGTGCATGTCTCAACTTGGCGGCAGTATGCTTCAAGCAGGGAATCACTACTACTGTAAGTTTCCTGCATCTTGTTCCTCCAGATCTCTCGGACCTGATAAATCGAATTGTCAAAAAGGTAGATACTATTTCAATGTAAATGTGATGTATAATTATATTAAAAATGGTCCTGAAATTAAGATGTATCATTTCTTACTTGACCAATATACTCATATGAAGACATGTCGGAACTTTCAGGGTAGCTCATGGGCCCTGACAGTATCCTTATCATTACAGCACCCAAGCTGAATATGTCAAACTTTCCGGAAATTTCACCTCTGTCGATGTATTCTGGTGGCTGGTAACCACTGCATTGTGTCACATGCAATGAATTTGTAATGCATATAGTTTGTTGGGTTATAAAAAGGGATAAGTTTAGTAGAGGTATTCGACTTACAGCGTTCCATAAGGATTGTCGGTGGTCCGTATTATGTCTTGACCAAAGATCCTGGACAGACCAAAATCTGCAATCTTTGGAACCATGTGCTTATCTAGCAATATGTTGTCCGGTTTTAGGTCAAAATGGTAAATAGGTTCTTCTTGATCCTTGTGCATATACTTTAGACCCTCACAAATCCCCTTAATTATTTTGAACCGCATGTGCCAGTCAAGCTTAAGTTCACAACACTCATCTATAGTAGTAAACAAAAAAATAATCAAATCCAATATAGAAGACAATATTCTTTGTAGGCATACTGAAAATGGAGCAGCTGTACCAGAAAGATGGTTTTGTAGACTCCCATTGTGCAAGTATTCAAAGCAGAGCGCCGCATGTATCTCATCAACAAAAACCTTACTTCCATCTAACATGATAAAAGGTTTTTTCTTTGTTTCATAACAATAGCCAAGAACCTTTACAATGTTTTGATGGTTCAGCTCCGTGAGGGTATCAAACTCATTTCGAAACTGCTTGTTGCCTAGGTCGGCAAGACAAGGCTTCAACTTCTTCACAGCAACATCATGTCCATCTTTAGTGACTCCCTGCCAAATATATGTTGTCAGTATTTAGTATAACTTGGCCCCTTATATTTGGTACAGCACTACAGCAGGAAATATAGGGGTTGGGTTTGTTTTGTTTGTTGTTACCACGTCCTGAGAATATGGTTGCTGTCCACATTGACATAGTTATACCATATCATTTCGAAACACTACACATTTTTTGTTGGCCAGACATTACTGTAGTTAGCATAAATTGAGCATGCCCGAATCTTACTCTGTAAACAACTCCGAATGCTCCTTGGCCAAGTATGCGCTCCTCTGAGAAGTCATCAGTAATTTCCCTTATGAATTGAAATGGTAGATCCTCTGGCACCGACACCATAGTTATGCCCTGTAATTTCTGTTAGTACAAAGTCATGAGTCATGACCCCTGGGTGAGAAGATTGAAACGTATTATTTGTGCTAGTACAAAGACCACCTTACTTATGAATCACAGATTTAAGGACGAAAACATGAAAGCAAAGGCTCACCAACAATGATATATCGCGATGAACTGATGCGTCCGATCCAGGGGATGCTAGATGGGACTGTATGTAGACAGATCGAGCGCAGTAGCAAAGTCTCTAGATTAGAAGAGAGAGAGATGTGAACTGGGCAACTACTAGCTATTAATGCATAAATTAAAGAGAGGCCAGTAATGCATAAATTCCCTCGCGGGATTATTTAGTAAAAATACCAATAAATCGGACAGGAATATATAGTCCAAGAGGTACGAGAAACACTGCAAGCTTTGAGAAGGCTTCCTAGCTAGCTTGTGCGGTCGAACGTACAAAATCTAATTTGAAAAATGGACCACGATGAAATGATATTGATCCATGTTGGCCTCGGTTAACAAACGATTGTGCGAGGAGAGGAGTAGACACAAGCTTTATGTGACGTGGATATAACTATAAGCTGCTGTTAAGGGAAGCACATATTACATACGTATCGTATGGCTGGAAGAAGGATCGGGTCCTCCGGCCGGAGAGTGGAGACGACGCGCGCCGCTTGCTTGCTCTCCTTGCTCCTTGCTCCTGTATGGGTATGCCTGTGTGCTCCGGAAGGGGGTCGAGAGGTGAACTAGAGACCGGCTAGCCCCAATTGGCATGGTAACATGCATCTATCCAGAATAAAAGTATTTGTTGTATGTACGAGGGAGAGCACATGTCACGCTCCACCATGTGGTCTACCGCGTGCGACGCGCCCTAGTGTAGTGGACCAGTGGTCTCCTTGTCTGACCCACATGAATATGATCGAGTATCATAATGTATATGGCACCGTGTTTCCTCGCCTCTTTGTACTATTTTATTTGTGCGTGCAAGCGCCGAGTACCTTTTGGGAAGGTTGCACAATAGGTAAAGCATTGCTTCAAAGATAGATCCATATATATAGCTATAACTTAACATCAAAGATATATCACTCTTTCACTTTCATCCATTTGTCAAAATTCGTGCCCATAAAGTGAATCCTAGAGATTGAGCTGCTAAAGCCACACCAGCACTTCTGAGCAATATCCTGTCCTATACCTCTCAACTTTTCTTTGTCATCTCTAGCATCAAAACAACTTCTTTGTTTAATTATATCCCAGCACATATTGTTCGTCAAGGGTAATATCTTGTATGGTTGAAGGTTTGTACATATTCTCTCTGCAACACTCTCACTTCGTGTTGTTACTAAAATAATTATATTGCTATCATCATGATATAGCATATCCTTCAAGTCAATCAACTGGAACTGATTATCCTCCCAAAGGTCATCTAAAACAATTATAATCTTCTTACTAGGAAGTAGCTTTGTGAGGGAACTATGTACCACATGTCTTTCATTAGCCTGATTCTCTTTTTCAGATAGTTGTGAAATAATAGACTCATGAATTTTATTCAAGTCAAATCTTTGTGACACATGGACCCATGCTTTAGAGTAACATTTGAACTTTGGATCATTATGAATCAATCTTGCAAAAGTTGTCTTGCCAATGCCTCCAATACCATGTATGGGAAGGATGGAAATCTTTTTTGATGAGCTCTCAAGTAAAGAAGTTATTATTTTCCCTTTTTCTTGTTCCCTCCCCACTATGAGTTCTTCTACTACATCTGTTGATGTTTCTCGTGCATCAATAAGTTCTAGCTTAGTGCAACTTGGGCTTCACAATAGATCAGTATTCTGGTGCTGAACTGTGATATCCTTTGAGTCCTTTCTCATCTCTATACTGTTATTCTTCACTGTCATTTCAGAAAAACTTATGCTGCATCCTTTCTCGGCAAGCTGCAAAATTTCAATTAGTTTGAAGTTAGAGGAACAGGAATCAAATCTTAGAGTACAGCAAGCAGTGTTAAACTAGTATGGAAAGTTTAGCTTTTCTGTCTGTGCACACAAAGTAAGTGATAAACCAATTTCCATATAACAGAAAGGCAAAATAGTCGAATTCGTCCCTGAACTATCGTGCTGGGCTCAATTTCGTCCCTCAACTATAAAAACGTCCGATTCAATCCCTAAACTATCGTACTGGGCTCAATTTTGTCCCTCAACTATAAAAACGTCTGATTCAGTCCCTGAACTATCGTGCTGGGCTCAATTTCGTCCCTCAACTATAAAAACGTCCGATTCAATCCCTGAACTGGGCTCAATTTCAAATTTAACACAGTTGCTTTTTTATTTTTAAATCTAACCTGGTTAATATACTGCTAAAACTTGGTTTGTTTTTTTTTCAAGAGCATCTAAAAAGACCTCAAATTAAAAACTCAAAACTGAGCGTTATAGATCTTATATGAGAACTACAATTTTCATATATAAAGTATCTCCATTTTATATATTGAGTTTTACGATTTTTGAGGTCGATAAGCACTAAGATGCTTAAAAAATTAAAGTATGTTTTAATTAAAACATTATTTAATTTTTGAGCATGGAAAAATGATCTCTCAAATTAAAAACTCAAAACTATAAAGTTTATATATGAAAATTGTAGTTCTCGGCGAGAGCTACAATTTTCATATAAAAATCATTTTAATTTGCGGTCATCCAAGATTTAAAAAGATGCATTTTAGAAAAAAACAAACCAAGTTTTAGCAAGATATTAACTAGGTTAGATTTAAAATAAAAAAAGCAAATGTGTTAAATTTGAAATTGAGCCCAACACGATAGTTCAGTGGACCTGAATCGGACGCTTTTATAGTTGAGGGACTAAATTGAGCCCAAAGACGATAGTTCGTGGACTGAATCGGACGCTTTTATAGTTGAGGGACTAAATTGAGCCCAAAGACGATAGTTCGTGGACTGAATCGGACGCTTTTTATAGTTGAAGGATCTAAATTGAGCCCAAAGACGATAGTTCGTGGACGGATTCGCTATTTTGCTCAACTATTTTACTAACAGAAAACCACTTCGTAAAAGAAATAGTGCAGTGGATTGTTTTTTCTCCCAACATGTAGAAGAGCTTCATCTTTAATGCGTTGTTGATATTTCAAATTTACACAATAAATCGTTTTTTGTTAGTATAGTTCTTTCTTCAACAAATAATTTAGCATCTAAAAATTTGTAGCTTACAGTTGTAGAGAAAAGATAACCTACACATACAGTTGAGCTTTCTCCTTATCTATCAATATGGTTCAAACAATGAATATCGGTTCTAGAGGCTCAAGAAACTTTATTAGGCTCTTGAATCATGTAGTGATCAACACTTTTTGAAAGAAATTACTAATATGCTAGGAGAACAAAACAAAGTGAACTGATTACATCATTGGACATATAGTAAGACTATGTCCCTGACATAGATACCCAGTATATATGCCTTTACAAATGATATTAATTACCTTGTCAACACCAATTTCAATCTCATTAAGCTTCTCGGTGATCTTCACTATGTTAGGCCTTTTCTGACTTTCTTTGTCCAAACATTTCAATGCTATCTGAGTGCATGCCTCAATTTGGCGGCAGTATGCTTCAAGCAGGGAATCACTACTACTGCAACTTTCCTGTAACATGTTCCTCCAGATCTCTCGGACCCGATAAATCAAATTGTCAAGTAGGTAGATATTATTTCAATGTAAATATGACGTAGATTTAGATAAAAAAAATGGTCCTGATTTTAAGACGTATCATTTCTCACTTGATCAATGAACTCATTTGAAGACATGTCCGAACATTCAGGGTAGCCCAAAGGCCCTGACACTATCCTTATCATTACAGCACCCAAGCTGAATATGTCAAACTTTCCTGAGATTTCACCTCCGTGGATGTATTCTAGTGGCTGGTAACCACTGCATTGTGTCGCATGCAATGAATTTGTAATGCACATAGTTTGTTGGGTTATAAAAGGGATGCGTTCAGTAGAGGAATTCAACTTACAGTGTTCCATAAGGATTGTGGGTTGTCCGTGCTATGTCTTGACCAAAGATCTTGGACAGACCAAAATCTGCAATCTTTGGAACCATGTGCTTATCTAGCAATATGTTGTCAGGTTTTAGGTCAAAATGGTAAATAGGTTCTTCTTGATCCTTATGCATATACTTTAGACCCTCACAAATCCCCTTGATTATTTTGAACCGCATGTGCCAGTGAAGCTTAAGTTCACAACACTCATCTATAGTAGTAAACAAAAAAAAATAATCAAATGCAATATAGAAGACAATATTCTTTGTAGGCATACTGAAAATAATGGAGCAGCTGTAACAGAAAGATGGTTTTGTAGACTCCCATTGTGCAAGTATTCAAAGCAGAGCGCCGCATGTATCTCATCAACAAAAACCTTACTTCCATCTAACATGATAAAAGGTTTTTTCTCTGTTTCATAACAATAGCCAAGAACCTTTACAATGTTTTGATGGTTAAGCTTCGTGAGGGTATCAAACTCATTTCGAAACTGCTTGTTGCCTAGGTCGGCAAGACAAGGCTTCAACTTCTTCACAGCAACATCATGTCCACCTTTAGTGACTCCCTGCCAAATATATGTTGTCAGTATTTAGTATAACTTGGCCCCTTATATTTGGTACAGCAGGAAATGTAGGGGTTGGGTTTGTTTTGTTTGTTGTTACCACGTCCTGAGAATATGGTTGCTGTCCACATTGACATAGTAATATCATATCATTTCGAAACACTACACATTTTTTGTTGGCCGGCCAGACATATTACTGTAGTTAGCATAAATTGAACATGCCCGAATCTTACTCTGTAAAAAACTCCGAATGCCCTGTAATCCCCCTTATGAATTGAAATGATACATCATCTGGCACTGACACCATAGTTATGCCCTGTAATTTCTGTTAGTACAAACTCATGAGTCATGACCCCTGGGTGAGAAGATTGAAACGTATGATATCTTTTATACATAGAAAAAAAAAAGATTAT